TACGGTGACCGTCCGTCCTGTATTATACGAGACAGTACTCTTTTTTGACCAATGGTCCTGGCAATTAATTTATTTTATACGGGACGCCAAATGTTCTGTATTTCTTTTAATGTCCCGTGTTCGTTTCGTATTCGAGGTTCGGTATTTCGACGCCTTAAAAGCTCATTAAAATGGCATGCCTAAAAACCAGTTTTAAATTATGTTGGAATATGATCGTAACTTTCTCCATAAGCAGTTATTATTTTCTATTCTTAATGCCAGTGCTTCGAATCGAGGAACACATGCAGTACCAAAATATAAATTAGGATTCTACATTTTAGCAAGGTTCGGCTATTTTTCTTGCTGTTTCAGGGCCGATACATACTTATAGTATCATTTAAGAAGGTGTTAAGGTCCTTTAGCTTTTATGGAAAAAATTTAAAAAAATGTATTTTTTGTTCCGTATTCGGCTCGCATAAATATGGTCGCTCGGTTTTATCTGTCAAAATGAATTGTTAGATAAAACCCCATATCTGAACAATAAGTTGTATGGAGGCCGAAACTTGTAAGCTTTTTGTTAATAAAAAGTGAAAATAGTGCGAAATTTCATTTTCCTAGTGGAGGAGTTATAACGAAAAATCTCATATCTCAACAATCAGTTGTATAGGAGCTACGTACATATGTATGTATGTATATATTATAAGGGTCCAATTTTACGATTCCTACAAAGGACTAATACATTAGGCAAACAAATTTTAGTTAGTCGGATATCTCGAAAACTGAGGGACTAGATTGCGACAAACAGACATTCTGATTTAAGTATACATTTTCATTGGTTTATCTCTTCTTGTTGGTAGTTACAAACATCGGATCAAAGTTATAATATCATTTCATGTTCATAAAATCGACGTTCTTCCAGCAGACATGGAAAATATGTATTTGCGAAGCAGACATGTAAAAACTTTTAAGCTTTGTCGTTCTCATTATGTACATTTTCACTTATTCGTACAGCTGTGGGGCGCATCTAAAGCTAATTTTTGTCTTTCATATACGCTGACTATTAATTTGTTGTGTCTATTGTTGTTGTAATTTGCTGTTAATTCTTTGAGGCTGACACCTTAACAAACCGTTGTCAGCATTGTTCATTTCGCTAACGGAAATGTCAACAAAAACGACAGTGTGGCATAGATACTTACGTAGTTACGTTTAGATGTATGTAAGTATATTTAAAAGTTGCGAACACATAAACATGCTATTAGGGTGGTTCTTAAAATATCACAACCAAAATAAAAAGCTTTTAATTTTCGTGTGTCTTTATTTTAGAAAAAAAATAAATCGGTGCCACATACAAAATTTGGATGTTGATAGGTTTAAGGACCACCGTAATGTTTATAAATATAAAATTAAATACGATATATTGAATTTCTCACTTACCAATAGCAAACCAGCCGCCACACAGCAAATCATAAATAAATTGGCTTTTATAAAACGCTCCATTATTTGATCATTCCAAAAGTTTTGTATGCTATTTGTGTTGTTTTTCCTCTTGTGTTGTAGCTGCTGCTGCTGCTGCTGCTGCTGCGTTTCACCAAATGCCTTTTCATAATGCATTGTGAATGTTGTGTTTATTGTATTGCGTGCCAATATTTAGAAATAAAAAAAGTTAAATGCGCACAAAAAACATTTGTCTTGTTTGTCGTTAGAAAAACAAATGTATAGTAACAAAAAGAAGAACGGTTACACGATATCACAATGTCACGGCACCGGTCAACTAAATATGCTTCAATGTAACCAATTTTTTTTTTTTGAATGTATGAAATTCTTGGGTGTTGACTAAGTGACTTCGATTGTGTCGAGTCAATTTGCAACCAATTTGAGGTGAGTTGTCGAGTTCAATGCCGCTGCTGCCGCCGCCGCTGCCGAAACCAACTGCCACCACTTTTTTGATGGAATGAAGCTTGAGTGTTTGTTTTTGGAATTTACGAATTTTATTGCCGCTGTCATTTGCCCGGTTTGGTGATTGTGCGCTTATTCTTATGTTAAATTTGGCCAATATTGTAGTTTTTATGTACGTATGGTTGTATGTAAGTGGCTTTGTGATATTTGTATTTGTCACCAATAGCCGCTATTTCACCGGTCGAAATTTATGAATCGATTTTATGCTTGTTTTAGTTGTTAGTAAAAAAATCAATGCTTGTTTGTGTGAACTTCTCCTTTGACAATGAATTTAAAATCGCTTTTATTATTTTAGTACTTTCCTCTTTTGCTTTTTATCGCTTATTTTATGCTATATATATGTATTTTTTAAAGCTAAAAGAAGCGTTTTTATGCGTTAAGCTGCTTATGTCTCTATACATACTACATACGAGCGTATGTCGTATTTGTCTGTCTGTCGTTGTATTTGTCGCGCTTTCAATGTGCAGTTAGTTGTGCTGAAATGAAAATTTCCACCGTTTAATGTTTGAAGTTTATCAAATGGGCGTTTGGAATGGAATTGTTAGGATGAAGATACATATATAGTAAATGAGGAATGAGTTTATAAGTGTGTATGTATGTATGTATATTTATAAGTTTATGAAATTTTTTATCTGCTTTTTTGTACATGTACATATGTAGTATAAACATTAAATTACCCGCAATTTACAATATTTCGCTTCTCTCACACTGACTTTGCAAATTATTTAAACACAAAAGACTTTAGGCACGAACTCAGTGAGTTGAATTAAATTTTCAAGAGCAATGCTTAAACTTTTTATTGCCCTACTGACACACAGCGCGTTTTATGATAGTTTTTTTTTTGTCACACATTTCCGAATGCTTGTTTTTTTATTGAAATAGAGAGAAAGAGAGTTTCATGAGTGGTCAAATTAAGTGCATACTTTTTACCAGACAAGGACGGAATAAGGCAAAAAGTCGAATAAACTGTTTAGTGTTTGTGTGAAAACTGAGAAATTTTTGGCGCCAGCTATTCTTTCTTGATCCCTATTTCATCCAAGCATCGAACAGACATCGTACATAGTGCATACTCATAGTACATTCATAGTATGAAGTCGATTTTTTGAGTAAATTTAAAAATTAAATTGCTTGGAAATGTCAAGAGTTTTAAAAGTGCTTCTCAGCGGTTCTAAATTTACTAAATTTTTATGGTCTAGATTGTTTACCTATGTATAGTCTTTCGTAATACTTAATTGTATTTCAGTTACCATCGACCCATGGTTACAGTGCCTAGTCTTCCAAAGGTCTGATTGTCTGAATCTGACCGCCGATTTCATAGCCACTTCTTTGTGGTGAATACCGAAAGGTATGCTTCTTAATTTTCTGGCATTATATTGTTTGTTAAGTCCGGGCCACCAGATCAGTGCGCCATATGTTAGGATTGGTCTTATGATCGCGGTGTACATCCACATACCAAATTAAGGTTTTAGTCCACAGTTTCTGCTGAAGGTTATGTTACAAGTATAGTATGCAACGCAGGTATTCTACCGAAATACGAATTTCAGCATTAATTTTTCAATTAAATTTGCTATTCAGCAAGACCACAAGGTACATTGCGCTAGGGTTCTTTCAAGTATTTCTCTAAAAGTTTAATGGGCTGCAGCTGCTATTACAACATCATCGGCGTACGTCAGAACTTCAACACCCGCTCGGTAGAGTCGTCGCATTAGTAACAAAAAATTAACACTTTCTTTGAAACAATGAATATTTTCAATACAGACGCATTTCTTAATATCCAGCTAATTCGCAAATAAGCGGTATTTTTCGACATTTTGTCGATTTCAAGCCAATATTTGATCGACAATAAAGGAAGGTATTTTTAGAGGTATAAAACTTCGAAAACAATGAGATTACATAATTTCGAACTGAAAATTTACTATACTCAATAGAACAATGATTTAATGCTAAATATTAGTGTTTCAATACATATCATTTCGATCATAGGGACCGCGACTGGCTCGGATTTTGCGTATTCTTCAAGTCCAGTTTTCGACCACTTTTTCCTGCAGTCGGATTGTTGTCTTCCAATGTGTACAAAGTATCTGGTTTGTTGGCATCAAATCTAGAGGTGTTAAGTCGTATGCCCTCAGTGCCCACTTAACTGACATTAACGCATTTACCAACTCTTTTGCGTTTGTTTTTGTTTTATTTTAATTTGCGCAGTTTGAAACCGTTATTCATGATAAACTGGCAAACATAACTGAGCACATATCATTGTGACCAATTTGTATGTAATAGTTATCGGTAAACGGAACCCTAAAAACGACCTAATAGTGAAAAACAACAAAACTGCTGGAGCTGCAAAGACAAATTGCCAGCGCATACGCTTCTTGGCACCCACGTCACTATTGATAGGTACAGGTTTGAAAAAGTAGACAACTTCGTATATTAAGGAACTAGCAGTAACGCCAATAATAATGTCAGTTGTCAGTGATATTTCAGACTGACTCATTTTCCCTTCGAGGAATATAAGTCTTCCAGGTAAGAGGTAAACATTCTATGCAATAAAAAATTTTCAACGGAAATGATGCAATCGATTTCTTTCACAAATTGCAATTCAGTCCACAAATGCAGAGTAACGCACTGCCATATTTACACAAAGCATCAAATAAATATTTGAATTTGGCTATGCTTCAAAGTCAGTGTCTTGAGACTCAGCAATTTTCTACGCTAAAGTGCTTCTTGGGAGCGTTATCACCCACACTTAAAATAATCTAAGGCGTAATTCAGCTTCAAATCAATGCCAACCCCCTTTTATGCGTTGCATAATAACGCAGTCAAACCAATTTTGTACAATTTAAGCAAATTTAAAATTCTCAAAAAAGACAAGAACTAATTTCAGACATTGGAGCTCAAAGTTGCGTGGCGCAGCGTAGCGGCTTTATTAAGTCATTTTTTTAGTGTTATAACACCGTTTATTTGATGCTATGAATTCAACTTTTATACAAACATAAACTACGCGTATATAGTATTTAAACCAACAACATCAAAAATGCAAAAAATAATAATAAAATAAAATTTTGGAAGAAGCATCCAAGCAAATGTGTATGTATTTCCATATGGATCTATGTACGTAAGTAAATTTGAAGTAGTCACTTGAGAAGCCAACGACATGACAAGCCAAAAAAAAACACCTCCTCAAGTATGCGGGCTTACTATTATTTAATAGCATTAAAACGTCAAAATGCCAGTGAATCGCTTAACATTGAGCTTGTGTGATTGCTTGCGTGATTTATTGAAGAGCCTCCACTCGCTCAATTGAGTGGGTATTTAGGGGTGCAGCGTCAGTTATTGATGTTCGACTGCGAGTGCGATGACGTTAGTGAAAAAAAAATTTTAGTTGTATTCGCCTTTTTTTTACTTAAAGAGTATTTTTCAATTTATTAGTCATATTGATCGTACATTCTGATACATTAGCCGATTAGAGCGCTACTGGATTTGTTTTATAGCACGCGCCAAAATCAGGCAGACTTATGCTTGTAAGTAAAATAATTCTATGTTGGATAAGTAAACGGTGAATGGACAGTATTTACACAAAAAAAAATAACTGTTTAGTCATGTACAGGCACACATCTCCATATGTACATATGTGTGTGTGTATGTAGTATGTACCATTTATGTACATGTAAATAAAACCAATAACGTAATAAAGCAATCGTCCGTACATTGCAGACGAACGGATACCGCGTGACAACCGCAATATACCAACACCGGATATTGTTAAAGAATGTATAAATATGTACGCTCAAATGTTGGTTTTCGTATTTTATTATTATTGTTCTGGCCATACCTTCTTGAGTGCATACGTATATTTAGCCTTATGGTTATACGTTTGGCTCATTTCTTCGTACGTGCCCTACCGCCAATACTGTCATTTTTTGCAGTGAGGCATAATTGCAGTAAAGAACTCTACTGCATTTAAGTAAGAAATTAGCGACGTATACTTTTTGTTTTGCCGTTCGTTCTCTATTTTTCCCCTAGCTCTTTCAAGATTTTTGCAATCTTTCTTTAACTTGATTTTTGCTGCATATTGTTCTCTCGAGTTCGTTTCTTAAGTCTTTAGTTTCAGTCGCTTTATTGAATATTAATTTTTATAACTTTCATGATTTTTTTTTTACAGCCCTACCAGCGCTATAGTTCCACTCATATAATACATCAACACTGATACATATATATATATGTATGTATACGCTATCCTACTGTAACTTATTTTGAAGAACGGTGTTGCCTTTGGAGTTTACCTTTGTTTTCCTAAAAGTCGTTTTTCTCTTTTAATTTATGACACGTCATTTGATATTTAAAAATCATTATTATAAAACATTAATACATTTTAATAACTACTAGATATCTCGCAGTCATAGCTTTAAAAACAGAACCTAAAATTCAAAAACATTTGTTCTTTATTGAAGTGAAACTTCTTTGCGCTCTGTTAGGTGTAAATCCAAACATCGAGAAAACAAAAAAAAATTACAGAAAGAAGGCAGGAGTGGTTGGGCGCTGTTATGACTAACGACTAAGAATAAGGTTACGATTAAGATTCAAATTAAAAGTGAGATTAAAGTTAAGATTAAAATTAAGAATACGATTAAGTTAATGATCAAGATTAGGGTTGAGATTAAGATTGAGGTTAGGATTAAGATTGAGGTTAAGATTGGGATTAAGTAACATTAAGATTAAGATTGAGATTAATATTAAGATTACGATTAAGATTGGGATTAAGATTACGACAAATATTTAGATTAAGATTAATATTAATAAAAATTAAGATTAAGATAAATATTAAGGTTAATATAAAGATTAAGATTAAGATTACGATTAAGATTAGGATTAAAATTAAGATTAAGATTAATATTAAGATTATGATTAAGCTTAAGATTAAAATCAACATTGGAATTAAGATTAGGATTAAGATTAAGATTGACATTAAGATAATTGTTCATTATTTTGCAGAAAAATACTCATGTAATATGGTGGGCTATACTGGTATAGGAAAGAGGAAATTTCACTTGAGTCGCGCGTGGGATTCACGCACAATTTTTTGGATTTCAAAATCTTTATCTATATATGATTGTTGAAATACCACAAAAACTCTTGGTGCCAAATATGCATTAGCCAAAGAACAGGAGGAAAGCTTAAGAAAACAAGGTGCTACTCTATATTCCGTGGAAACCTTCAATAGACAATAAATAAAAAAAAATGATTGGCGCTCATATTTTTGTTAAGTCTTTGACTGAAATCTCCTTCAATTTGTGGTGTGTTTCTTGAATGTTGTTCCTCCCGGGAGCTTGAGATCAATGCACTCTGTATTAAATATCGAAGACAGAGGGAAACAAAGTTTGCCGATCGAAAAATAATGATTTTCAAGGATTCTATACCTTAAAAAGACGTCCTTTTCCCATATAAAATACGAGTACATGACAAACTTCGAGCGCTTTGA